GTTGGGGGGATTGGGGGGCCAGTGGGGGTCCCGGTTGGAGGACCAGTTGGTGGTGGTCCTATGGTTGGCCCAGGTGGTGCGCCCGGCAATGGTGGCATGAACTTGCCGACCCCCGCGGCGTCCGTCCCGAGTCCGACTCCAGCCAACTCGATTCCGTCCAACAACCAAAACAACGGAGCCCAGCCGCCGAACGCCGGGCAAAGCGACCTGAATCAAGGCATGAACGGCAACATCAGTCCAAACGGAGGGGGCCAAGTGCAAGGACCTGCCAACGGTGGGTTGAACGGGATGGCTCCGATGCAGGGTCTCGCCAACGGTGGGCTGAACGGGATGGCTCCCATGCAGGGCCTCAACAATGGTGGGCTGAATGGGATGGCTCCCATGCAGGGTCTCAACAATGGTGGGCTGAACGGGATGCAAGGTCCTGTGAGCAACGGGCTGAACGGAATGAGTCCGATGCAGGGTGTAGACAACGGTGGAGCCTTGGGTGTGGACAACCAATTTGGCATGGCGAACAACGGCAACATGGGTCTCGGAAACCAGTTCGCTAACAACATGGGCGGGGGGGCTGCGCCCGTGATGGGGGGAACGACGAACGGCATGGCAAACCCTGGACTGCAGCCGGCCAGCCCCATCCCCACCCCTGCGCAATCCATTCCAGTCAACGGACCTCCAGCGGGAAGCGGGACTGTCAACAACGGAGTGCCATCCTCGATGACTGGCGGACAACTCGGCAGCATGGGCAACATGATGATGGGGACCGGGGGCTTGGGAAGTGGAGACCTGACGGGGGGAATGGGCAACCCGATGATGGGAGCGGGGGGAACGGGCGGTGATCTTGCCGGGGGCATGGGGATGGGTGGAGGCTTCTCTGCGGGCCCATCCTCTGGGATGATGGGCGGAAGCACCGAAGCTGACCTCAACATCACGAACGCCACGCTTGTCCCGAAGACCAACATGACCACCAACGCCACCACGTCTGCGCCAACAACCACGCATGCTGCCACG